ATTATTATATATATATATATATATATATATATATATTAATAGTATATATATATATATATATATATATATATATATATATATATATACATATATATTTATTGTACTAGTGTGTTTAATTTCTTTTTATGATATAACTGTTTATATAGATATAAATATTTTTATATATATTTTGTATATAAATAATTATTTTATATATTTATCATATTAGATTAGGAGGAGGAACGACGTGGCATGCGTCAGGATTAGTGGGAGCCTTCAAACCCAGTCTGACGCAAGTAAAACTTGCTCAGGATAGCATTGCTTTATATGAGGAGTTGGAGAAGAAAGGTCTCTCGACAGGATGGAAGCAATGTGGTAGTCTTTCTTTGGCACGAACCAGAGACCGCATGACCTCGTTCAGGCGAATGAAGGCACAATCTGTGTAAATATTTAGTAGACATGATGATATGAGGGCAATTTTATTTTTTAATTTATTAATATCTTAGGTCGCGCGATATCGAATGCCACTTAGTTTCGCCAGAAGAAATCCAGGATCTATGTCCATTGTTGCATGTCGAAGATCTCATTGGAGGATTATGGATTCCAGGAGATGGTGTCGGTGATCCATATCAAATCTGTTTGACTTTGATTCAAGAGGCACGACAAAGAGGTGCCGTAACATTTAAATATTGAGGTACGAAGACTTGATTGTAAACTGCCTTTAAAATAAATATTTCTCCTTCTAGGAGTTACAGTATTTGAGAATTGCGCAGTTACAAAAGTTATTAATCAGAATGGCCAAGTAGGAGCGGTGGAGACAACGCGTGGCACCGTCAAATGCCAACATTTTGTAAATTGCGCTGGATTTTGGGCGCGGAATGTAGGTAAACTCAGTGAGCCATATGTCAAGGTCAGTACTCGGTACTTAACGCAAAAAATTTTCTGATGGAAAATAATATCTCATTTGTTTTTTAGGTACCACTGCATCCAGTAGAACATTATTATTTGCATACTAAACCTATTGCTAATTTAGACCCGATGATACCTGTTATACGTGATTTGGACGGATATGTCTATTTTCGAGAAAACGAAGGACGATTGTTAGCCGGTGGTTTCGAGCCAGTCGCGAAACCAGCATTTGAAGATGGCACGATTCCTGGTTAGATATGAATAAAATTCTTTTTAATGTTAATTTGTATCGAATTATATCTAATTATTCGTTTAATGATATTACTAAATTATTTAGAATTTTGATAATTATATTTGTATAATGTGATTATAAATGTATTTATAAAAAAGCTCATTTTATTTATTTTAGAAAGCACTGACAAGCGGTTTTTACCAGAAGATTGGGATCACTTTCACATTTTGTTGGAACAGATGTTACACAGGATTCCGAGTTTAGGAAATGCAGTTCTCGAGAGACTTTGCAACGGACCCGAAGCGTTCTCTCCAGATTGCAGATGGATCGTGGGAGAGGCGCCAGAAATACGTAATTATTACATTGCCGCCGGAATGAAAACGGTTAGTTGATTGGCTGGCTTAAATTACATCGACACTCGAAATTTTTCGATATAGATGATGGTTTTCAAAGGTCGGAATATCCGCCGCTGGCGGAGTTGGTCGCGCAACAGCGGAATTGATAGTTAACGGCTCGACTTCGTTAGATATGTACGAGTTAGACGTCTCACGTTTCCTCGGGCTGCATAACAATCGCAAATTCCTACGCGATCGAGTGCGAGAGGTACCTGGAATGCATTACGCGCTGCAATATCCGCATCTCGAGTTCAAAACCGGGAGAAATCTGAGAATGTCGCCGATTTATCCGAAACTTAGAGATGCAGGCGCCGTTTTCGGCCAGGTCATGGGCTACGAGAGACCATCCTGGTTTCAGCCAGACGATGACTGTGGTAATCTTCACAATATTTTCATAACTCTTTTAACTCTAGGTAAAATCCGTTGAAATCCGTTTCGATTATACAAATATGCTTAACAGATTTGGAGTTTCCCGATGGTTTCCAGAGATACAAGATAGCTTATACAAATACTTTTGGTAAGCCTCCTTGGTTCGACGCGGTCGCGCAAGAATACGCTGCGTGTAGAGAGGCGATTGGTCTGAGTGATTATTCCTCCTTCACGAAAATCGACTTATGGGTAATTATTCAAAGTACACATCTCTTTATCCTTGCGGTAAGATAAAATTAATATCTTTTATATTTTAGTCGAATGACACGGAAGTCGTAGATCTGCTGCAATATTTGTGCTCAAATGACGTAGATGTGCCTGTTGGAAGTATTATTCATACCGGTATGCAGAATCATCGTGGTGGTTACGAGAATGATTGCAGTTTAGCGCGTATCGCACCGAATCAGTAAGTTGTAATAAATTCATATTCGCGAATTGATAGTTCATTATTGGTGACAAAATTGCGAGGGAATGATGATTCTACACGAGAAAATAGTCGAGGATGTAATTTTTTAATATAAAATCTTTTATTTCTGAAGACTGTTAAAAATAAAAAAAAATTAAGTTATCTCATTGTTCCATGTCATTAATAACGCAGATTCTGTATATAAAATAAAATATACCTATACCTAAATACATCTGGAAATTTTTTGCGTTAGTTACATGATGATTGCCCCAACTATTCAACAAACACGTTGCAAAAACTGGATCCATCGTCATCTGCCGGCAGATGGTTCCGTTGCTGTATCTGACGTCACGTCGGCGTACACTGCAATTTGCATAATGGGACCGGCCACTAGACAGTTGTTGACTGAATTGACGGACATAGATTTAAATCCGAAAAACTTCCCATTCTTCACATTCAAGGTAATGCGACTGAACTAAAAAATTAAAATCACGTTATTATCTATTTGCTTTTTATTATTAGGAACTAGATGTTGGGCTTGCCAATGGCATTCGTACAATGAATTTAACGCATACTGGAGAACTTGGCTATGTTCTGTATATTCCAAACGAGGTAAAAACTCCGAACAAGTAATCGTTATTCTATACACTATATACTATTTTAGCTGTATCCCGTTAAAAATAGATTTCTTTCTGATTTATAAATTGTATCTAAAGTTTACAAACCTTACTACTTTACAAAAGTTTATAACTTTTTGAACTTTGTAATTTCAGTTTGCATTACATGTCTATACAAGGCTAATAGAGGCCGGAGCGAAATATGGAGTGAAACATGCTGGTTATTATGCAACGAGAGCATTACGCGTTGAAAAGTTTTATGCATTTTGGGGACAAGATTTGGATACATTTACTACTCCTTTGGAATGCGGAAGATCGTGGAGAGTAAAATTTGATGTAAATATTTTAAGGATTGATATTTTAAAGAAATTATATATAAACTTATATAAAATTTTCATTTTGCAGAAGGAAGTCGATTTCATAGGCAGAGATGCTCTTTTGAGGCAGCGCGAGCAAGGAGTCAAACGTAAATACGTGCAGTTACTGTTAAACGATCACGATCTCGAGTTCGATACCTGGTGCTGGGGTAGCGAGCCTATTTATCGAAACGGAAAGTATTGCGGAATGACAACAACCACGGGCTACGGATTTACATTCAAAAAACAGGTGAATTTAGTCCTTTTTTTTTTCTTGCATGCCTCGTACGAAAAAAAGAGAAATTTTTAAGATATATAAGGATGTTACCAATATTTTTTTTTCGAAATATTTTATCAAATATCCACAGGTATGTCTTGGATTCGTGCAAAACTTCGATTCGAAAGATCTGCCGCAAGAGGTGACAAATGATTACGTATTATCGGGCGATTACGAAGTAAATGTCGCGGGAATCATGTATCCCGCAAAGTGTCACTTGCACAGCCCGAATTTACCGACGAAATTCCCCGATAAAGAGAGGGATGCTTATCACGCCACGCGCGACCAACAATCTTTGTAATCTCTCATTTAAAAATAATATTTTAAGTGTGTACAAACGATGTATATAGCAAAAGATTTAATAAATCGTTTAATAGATATCACTCAAAAATTACTACATCGAAAGATCTAAAAGTCACAGTAGAAATCCTTCAGGACAAAGAATCGTAAATAAATTACATTTGGATCTGTCGTCCTTCATGTCATTATGTAACTACTTTTCTCTTAAAAATTCATATATCTACGTATATACTAGTATTCTACGCTATATATATTTTACAGATTTTAAAATGTATTGTAAGCTTATAATAGTAGTTCCTATCAATATCTCTGTCCAGAAACATCTATCTCGCATTGCACAGCATATTATTTTATGTTCATACACTTCCCTCGCAATCTACAGATCCATAATCGTACACGTGCGCGAGAAACACCCGCCATAATTGCATTTGTTGAACACCATTTGTTATTTTGATGAACTCTTGTTCCACCACGATACACTTTATTATGTATATATACTGACATTTGTGTCATGTGTACAATATCGTTTATATTATATAATATACAATGTGAAATACATCGTCCGAAAGACACGTTTAATGAGGTGTGTGAGGTTTTGCTCCCCTTAATCGACGTTCCTTTCTTATTAAAATATTAACGCAATAATTGTCTCGCTTACGCACTATATAAATCGGTACACACTTATTTACGATTATTCAGCAACTATTCACCTCAAAAACTTTTATACGCGATAGTAGTTTATCCGTACATTAACAACACTTTTTACACACATTACTCAATCATTGACTTTCATTTTACTATACACAGCAACTGTCGAGGTTTGAACGCTCTATCACTCTGGAATCTCCGTCTCCGTCGTGGGCACCTGTTTCTGCACCATACACGATCTAGCTACGGACTCGAACAATCTGAAACAATAACAAATTGCATTAAAAAAAAAAAAAGAACAAATTAATTACAACAATTGTTTTCCGATATTTAATCCCTGTAAGTAAAGAAGCAAGACTTACTTTTCAATTTCCGGCGCACAATGTACAAACTCGTGTGACCAGAATTTATACGTCGGATTTTTGATCAGTTCGATGAAGGTAATGAGGAGTCCCCATGGATGTGGTCTGTTTACAATCAGTCTTTCCAGAAGAACTCTAGTGATCTGCTCCTGTATCGCTTCCGTATTCGCTTCAGCGAACAAATAGAGAATCGTACAACTAAAGTAATGCGTATGACTGTTAGGGTACCGCAACTGATTTGCTATGGCGTTCAGAAACAGATAACGACCCTCGGTGTCGAGATCGACGGCAAGGTTTTGAAAGATATCCATGTGTGCAGAGTGCGCGATAGTAGACATGTTAGGAGCATGACCCTTGCTGCGAATGAATGCTATTGCCTGTGTTCCCACATAGAGCACTAGAGCATTCATCAGTTGAATATTATAACGCACTCCAGCCTCTTGTGACACTTGCAGATTGCTGCGAAGCTCGGATAGGAAGGTGACCGGCGCACGAGCTTTTAGATAGGAATCGAGTTCTTTCTTGAAATTTAATGGCTGTATCGTAGATGCAAAATTGGTAAGAACACGCGGGGCATGCGCTATCTCCTGCAGCATGTCCACTTTCAAATTTGGTGTAAATGGATCAGGCAGACGCATGTTTCTCGGGAATGCACTCAAGATCAGATTTCTCATCTGTATACAATTCGGTGGTATCACGTCGCAAAATCCATAATGATAATCGCAAAGGAACTCGGGGAAATCGTGAAGCAGCACGAGCAACACACGAAGCGTTCCTTTGTAGAGACTTGTCACAGGCTTTGCAAGCTCCGCGTTACGAAGGTATGGCGCAAGATATTTGAACAAATCGATGAGAAGCTGCGCATACATCCCCCAGCACTTTTGTTGCGGTGTAATGGCTAACATACGACCGATGAAGACACGGTGAGAGACCAACTCCAACCATGCATAGCAAAAACCAGATGCCTTTGCTGGTCGTAGGATGTGCAGGGTGTGACAAAAGGCGGTCAGGACTTGAAAATTCACGGCCTCCAAAACCGGCTCGGGCGCGCACAACTCCAAAAACAGCATAATAAAGATCCTGTGATATGGTAACTGTTGGAAATCGGTGCCGCGTATTTCGTGATCTTGTAACAGCACACCGGCCACGATACCAAGCACCTTGTTTAATAGATTTATCTTGGTATGTGTGTTAGTAGCATCACCTGAATGCTTTACTAGAAGTGCTACTAGACGTACGAACGCGTCCAATGAGTGGAAGCATTTTGCACGCATGATCGATGGAGCCGCTGCAGTTTCCGTGAGAGCTCGGTAGCAAAGATCGACGCACATCTGTGTGCTTAGCTTGAAGAATCTCGTGATGAGATCGTCGGTTTTCAGGATCCCATGGATATTCATTTGATGTACAAATATGCTAAACGCTTTCGTGGGATCTCGCGCGTACTGTGGATTGTGGTGCATCTGCACCCATTCACGTAACAGATATTCCGTTTTCTCCATTAATCCGGGTGGATCATCAAAATCACGAGCCTGTGAAATATGAATACATGTTAATTATCTGTTAAGATTTGAGATATACTAAAATACATATATCGTATTTTGTTAATATTTGTCAGTATCGTAAATTATTAAAAAATATTTTTTATTTACAATAGCAGATATATTTTTTTCAAATGAGTAGAAGCTGCAATATTCATAGTATCAGATTCTATCTACACATTTTTTTTAAATAATTAAGACAAATATCAACAAATATCAACAATTATCAACAAATATCACAAACATAATGTAAAATACTGCTGAATTAATCTACTTGGATTGAATAATCTGGACAATCTACTTACTCTCACCTGCAGGATTCCGGAATGAATATGTGCCGTAGGCCCTGCTGGAGCTCGATCTACCAATACGCCGGAATCGGCGTGATTGGCGCGTAGCGAATCTACTAATGTTGTCAATCTATACAGTGAAATTCTGAAATATAAATTTTTCTGTGTATATGTATTCTGAATATAAGTACAAAAATGAATATGACAGAGTTATTTATACTATTCTATCTTTGCGATCGTCAAATAATGTCATCATTAAAAATAATATAATAATACCCTTCTGGTGGCGTTCGATGATGCGCCATTCGAGCCATTATCTCAATAGTATGGAATAAGTCAGTTTCGGTAACATGAGTCGCTTGTCTCTCGTCAATCAAATAGAGTTGAACCAACTGCATAGCGAATGCTGTTGCCAAGGCGTTTCCTGTTTCTATAGCCTGCGCTAAAGCTACGTCGTATTGTGGAAGACTAATTAAATGAGATCTGCAAAATAATATCCATAATTAACAATGTTTTCTAGACGTTCTCCCCAAAACAATACAAATCGATATCGTGCCTTATGAGGTAGTCCACGGCTTCGAAATTGTATCGGTATTCTTCTCGGCACTCCGTTAGACAACGAGTTACGTGCTTGTTGGTCCATTGCATACCGTACGCGCGTTGATCTTGAAGACATTTCAAGATACGTAAGTGTAGTTCTCTGTAGCGCTGCGCTAGATTTTCAGCTTCAATGGTGCCGCTGGTAAAAATAGGCCCATCTAGTAAACCTTCGACCGCCTAGAATAATCATTACCGGTTATGCTTCCATCTTACATTGCGATCTTATAATTTAACTGAATATCAAGTTATTTATGCGTAACTCACTTTCTTTAATAATGTCATAGCTGCACCGGCATCTCTTGATCTTCTCGTAAGTATAATCGCATCTAAAAGGCTATGAAGGGCAGCGTTCTGCGGTGGAGGTGCTGCAGGTACCATAGCAGCCAATAAAACTTCAACTTCCGCTGCAAGTTTTTCCAACATTGTACCTACTTCATCGTTGCTAATTGTTCCATAGGCTACTTGTTGCGCCGTAGCAACCGCCACAGCAGAGTTTGGTGTAAATGCAGTGAGTGGAACTTCCTTTAGAACATAAAAAAAAATAAAGATTTTTATTATTTAACGAATTTTTTGAATATTTTAATAAATGTCCATGCAAATGTCGAATAAATGATACTTACAGAAATCGGTTTCGGTACGAAAAGCGTTTGAGTATCCCGTTCGGAAAGTGGTAGGAATCCTGGAATATTTCTGGCAAATTCTTCATACACAGCCATTTGTTGAGGTGTTACTCCACCAACTTTCAGTCTTATCTGCTCCGGCATTCTTTCAGCTTGATACTTAGCAAGAGGATCACAATATCTTCTTCCTTCTTGCCGAGCAAGTTTTCGTACTTCAATTTCATTGAGTAATCGTTTGTCTATTTCGGGTATCGCTTTTTCGATAGCTGTTTTTTGTACGAATGCACACGCTAGTTCCATATTATCGGTAGCTACTACATTTGCCGCTTGTTCAACGAGTTCCTTCTGTTGTGGGGTTATACTAATTAACGCGGCGAGAAAGGCTTGTTTCAAATTCGAACTGATCGATGCCAGGACCTATATGTGCAAAATGATAAAAAGTTAATCAGCAACTCAATGATATTATAACTTGTTTTAAATGTCAATTTGTTTTACAATTATATCTTTAATTATTAGAGATATGAAAACGTTTAAAAATAAATTATTTTTATTGTATTGAATTCAAATTAAGAATCATTTTTGCAAGATGAATTCAAGATTAACTATATGACTTTCTTATAAAAAGAAAAATATTTTTTATTATTTATGTAAGTTTTTTCTTCGTCTAAAGTTACTTAATGTTTTGTTGTAACTTTGTGTTGTAACTTTCTTTTTATAATTTTATAGCAATAGTTTATGTGGACTCTTACCTGATCACGACATGTAATCATAGCCATGCCAGCAGTTAGATTACGCGCCATATGACGGGCTGCTGTGCGCATTCGCACTTCCTCTGGATCCAAAGCAAAATCTTTTCTGACAATTTGTTCGCTGGTTGTAAGCGCTATTTTAATGGACCTATCAACAACAGGATGGATCCATTCTTGTATAGCTCTTTCAACCGCAGGGCGAATAAATTGCTTCAAATGAGGATGCGTTTGGAATAATGGTAACTGAAATCATTATACATCCATAAAATATATATTATATATAATTTAATTGTATCCTAATTATGTTTATTATTTAATCTTATTATTCGTAATGTATATTTAATAAAGATAATCAAAATTCGTGGAAAAACTCTTCCATACTTGATTGTTGATAGTGATGTGTTGAGATATATTAGCAATGCCTGTTACAGATATATCCATGTAATTAAATCTTGGCTCTGGTGGGCCAGCTGGCAATGAAGGTGTAGTATTTGCGGGTGGCACAGTTTGAGGATTGATAGTGCCACTCTGCGTTGTGGACCCAACCAACTCTTCTATAGGTCCCTGAGACTGCTGCTGATTGCTAGTAGTTTCCGATTTTTTGTTTGGATGCGACAACTGATATTCTAAATTGCGCAATTTTTCAGGATCTTTCAAGTAGATGATTGGTTTTAACTCCTGCGCGAAAACCAATATAGAATTTTATTAAATAATAAATAACGCTGCACAATTAGTATTGAACGAGCATCTAGCGCACTTACTCCAACATCGATGCTTAGATTCTTGCAAAGTACTTCTATTTCGAATTTTAAGTTCAATTTCAAATCAGGTTCCTGATGTAATTCGGCTAGAACGTTCATAATTGCCATAGTCCAGGGATTGGGTGGACGAAAGACACGACTCTTGGCACAACTCTCGAGCACTTTGGCAACAAAGGGTACTACATAAAGTAGCTCTTGTTGTCCTTTGTGATATGCTTCAACGAGTAAACTTTTTAAATCTATGTCTATCTATAATTAAAAAGCAATAAAATTTATACAGAGCATATAATATTACATAATATAATATACATATTTGCAATAATGGTATACTTGTAAAATAGGCTTATTCCTGCCAAGCGTTAACATTCCGAGCCAATGTCCTAAATTCTTTAACAAAGACCGATCAGAGAAATTAGCTATTCCTTTATCACTCCGTAAAAGAACCTGAATTAAAAGATTTATGTAAAAACTTGATACTTGAAAAGAAGTATCAGATAAATAAAATATTCGCAAAATTTATCATTTTATTCACCTTAATATTTCGGAATGTTTCTCTCGTAACCATCTTGTTCATTTCAGGTAATTTTATACAATCCAGAAAATTTGAGTACAGAGCATGAAAATTCAACTCTATGCTAGCACGTTTCATTACTAGATACTGCGCCATCCACGGCCAGTATTCCTCCGTAACAATTTCGCGAATCTCGTCACATTTTTGTTGTAGATTCAGTTGGCTGAGATTATTAAAGATAAAAGCAGTTTTATCCTGCAAGGCCTCTGGCGGTGTCGTAATTTTCTCTTCCTTATCCGTTGCTACGAGCAACGTATCGATATTAGTTGCATTAGCGACCGAGGGCATAGAAGGCTGCGAAAATAAATATGTTGCATTATATATATGCACGTATGGCGATCCTTATGTGTTGAAAAGATTTCGAAAATTTTGGTTATCAAACTCACTCTAGCCGAGAGAGACGTAGTCGGGGTCGTAGACGGTTTCGCTTGCGTGGTGCTAGTTGTAATAGTAGTCGTAGTCATAGTTTTATATGTAGTTGTAACTGGAGTTAGCATATCCGCCAAAGTTTTCGGACCCTGCGGTCTCGATGGTTCTCTTCCAGTCAATCCAAATTCTATATATTCTACTAAATGAGGTGGGAATTCGTTGTAATGTGGAATTGTTCTGACGTGCTCACAGTAGGTCTGGTATTCTTTCAAACGATTCTTGAAACGATCCAAAGCCGTTATACCGAAATAGTACATTTTACTACCTTCTGGTTTTTTAAGTGCATCAAGGACAAATCGTAATGCTAATCCAAGTGTCATATAACTGTTAACAAGTCCTCTTTCGATAATCCCACCGAATAATTGTGCTGTTATTTGTAATTCTTTCTCCGGATATTGTGGAAAAAATCTGTATTCTTCAAACAGATTTCGCAGCATACAATTAAACACCTCTCTCTCCCTTCTGATACCGGAGTCTTGAAATTTTTTCAACATATCAAGTACTTCATCAATCGACAAAGTCGGATGCGGTGGATGATTGTATATACGTTGAAAATAACTATTAGCTTCATCCTCGACCTCTTTGGATACATTTTGTCCCATATCTGGAAATAAATTAGAGGTTTCTTGCATTCTCGCTTTCTCAATACCAGCTGGCGGTCCAAGACGTCCTAAACCACCTATTGTACCACCGGGGAGTACAGACGGTCCCTGAGTACCAACTGGACCCGAGTGTAATTGTGAAGATAAGGGCAACATGGGAAACGGACTTGGCGAAGGTCCCATTAGTCGCGATGGAGAGCCAGGTGCTGAAACGAGAGGACCTAGCGCTCCAGGCAAATTAAATGCGGAATTACTTGGAGGTCCAAGACCCGTGCTAAGACCCATAGAAGCAAGGCTTGTACTAAGATTTCCAAGAGGATCCACTTGTTTCGAAGAAAACAACTGAAAAATAATATAAATAGTTGTACATATGACACGTGTGTGATTTTATTTTAATAAAATTGTGCAATATTCATCGATAAAAAAAAATAAATGTAAGCACCTGGTTACCCAAAGTTGCCGGATTAAACGATTCTAATCCTCTATGTCTTAAAACTCCCGGCGGTGGTGGTCTGTTCATAGTGCTCTTGCTCAGCATTAGACTACAATTCTGCACCATTGTCATTATTAGCTCCGAGAGTTCTTGAGAAACACTTCTATAATACATAAAAACAGAAAAATTAAATGTAATTCTTGTCGTACGTTAAATGTTGATAAATTTATCGATAAATTTAAAAGAAAATATACCCGGCGCAAACTTGCAAGCAAGCTAGTATCGTAGTGAGCGTTTCCTGTGGTAGTTGGCTTGCCTTGGGAACTGTAGGATCTTCCTTGATACCAGGGCCCATAACTTGAGGACAGCGTCGTTGTAAGAATTTTACGCACGCAGTGACAAAAACTTCCCCATGGTCCCTAATTTTGTCCGTCAACCATTTTTCTAATTTCAAATACTCTCGTCGAGATGCCAAACAGGCAAGATCAATAACAAACTGAAACGATTGCGAATTAAGTAAAGCGGATAGTGCCTTCAAGTCCTGTGCGACATCTAAGATTCGCGATAGTCTTGTTTGATCGTGATCACCACGCGTATACCAATCTGCCATGGCATGCATTATAATTGTCTTTATCTTGGAGTTATTGACATGCCACGCATGATGCAATATCACAGCAGAATTCGGATGATTGCCAAGAAAAATCGGCAATAGCGTAGTGAACAGTTCCTGTCTCAATAATGTGAGAGGTGGATTTATTTGCAATAATGCCAAGACAAGTACATCCGGGCAATGCTGAACTGGCCACTTGAATATCTCCTGTACAGGATTGTATAAGCCTCTTTCAGCCATATGTAGAAGCAATTCCACTATATTCAATGATCGCCATATTTGCCCTTCTTTGCTATCACCCTCGGGAGCTGCTTTCAGTACATCCACTGTTACCGAATGGTACGGATAATCGGCAAAGCAAAATATATCTGGACATTTGAGAATTTGTTGAATCAGAGAGAATTGGCCTTCAACATTATCCCAGTGTCGATAAAAGAGCTCGACAGGGAACACGTCAGGCGGATATCCTTGATGCTGTAAACCTAACTTGAGGCCCGTAATCAATAAATTTAAACCTTGCCTGTCCTTAATAACAAATTCTGGATGATCTAATTTCACGATAACTTCATTCCAAGATAATGTAGATTGCTGAAACGTAAACGGATAATCGTAGTTATATATTTGATAAATCTTATATATAAAATTAATAAACACAATTAATTAATAAAACAATTATAAAAATGTGACAAAAACTTACTAGCTCTTTTAACGTTTGAATAAACACTTCAACGTTCCATGTTGTGGAAATGGTACTATCCGATGATTTCTCCTTGTTGGAATCTTGCGAGGTAGTCGAATTACCCCAAAACGTTTGTAGGCCTCCAGCATCATCGAGATTACTACAGCTACGTGCCATCTGCGCCAACACGCGAGCGACGCATGCCGGCGATATTTCTCTGGCACCTAAACCTGTTAATGCCGATCGACATTCTTCTACACTATTGGTGAAACTATATCCCAATTCCATAATCAATTCTACAAGAGTGTTGCTATCCTGGAAAATACATTGCAATGTTAGAAATTATTAAACGCAATTAATTAAACATACAGTTAAATGACAATAGTTTACCATTTGAGTGACAGCCATGTTTAATTCAATTTTGAATTGCAGAGTTTCCTCGTCTCCTGGATACAGGAATGGTGCTAGCACCACTGGCACCAGTTCACGAGGAAAGTCACGTCGTAAATGTTTGAGGAATTTCTCTTTTGTTTCCAAAGGTAGGTTATATGGATTGGCAGTATGAAGAGCTTGGCTAAGTATCAGATGAAGAACCTGAGGCAAAGAATCGTGCAAACCACCTTCGTGATGCTTGTTACTTGTCTCAGAGTTTATGTAATTTTTTATCAATTCAGGTAGCTGCTTCTGAGTATGCTCTAAGGCTAAAGCACGAATTTCAGCGTTTTCCGAATGTTGTAATGCAATCGCAAACGCGACCTCTTGCACTAAGGTCAGGCCAAGTGTTTTCTTCAAATTGACAAAAAACTTTTGAGAGGGATTTAATGACTGAAAAAAAATATATAAAACGTTTAGTGTTTGGTAGATATAATTTAAGCGTACAATCTGCTTACAGCAATAGTAATAGATAACTTTTTATAAATACCTTTTGATGATGTAAAGGATTATCTATTGCAAAGCACAAAGTAGATATAAAAGAAGGTTTGCTCAATAAGCTATTACACTCCTGTTTCAACAGCTTAGCTTGAAAATAATCTTTTGCACTTGAATCTGACAGCTCACCCTTGGAAAAGTCAACGCATGAGATCAGACAGCGCAACAAATGTCGGTCTGCCTCTAGACCATGCCACTGCACCAACTGCAGAAAAATGAGAATTAACTCATTGTTTAGCATTTGATCGATAACATATAAACTCATGAATTATATATCTTATGTTTTATTTATAAATTGTTATATTCAATACATGTAAGATTTAATTTATACTTTTGTACTAAATTTGTACTACTTTTGTAATAAATTTATAAAAAGGTGTTAAGAGATAGAATGTAAAACGTAAAATGATCGAGCAAGAGAATAAAAAATGTTGAATCTCATTATGAGGTTAAGACAGAGTAAACATCTTACCGATCATATACATATACAAAAATGATCGCACAATTCGAAAGGATACGTTAGGATAATAAATAGATGGATATTAGTCAAGCAGATTTTCAAAACATGTTCGATACGATGTGATATAGAGATCGTAGACGCGCGCACATACGCGATTTTCACATCATTACGTAGCATAACATCCACGTTGATATCGCGCCGTGTATTGGCGGGAGATCGACAGTGAACGAGACAAAAGGTATACGAATATATTGCTTTTTGTTCTATAAATTAAGATAATCGGTAAAAGAAATCAAAATAATCCGTGAACAGAGGAAGTGCATGGGAGTATGGGGGGGAGGGGAGGGGAGGGAAATGATATTAATTTTTTGAAAGGTGTTACAAGATGAGAGGAAAAAGAAGAAGATTGATGATTTCTGATTCTTGAAAAGTAGGTGAAAACCGATTCTAATTTTTCATCAAGTTGCAGCGCAAATACTCACGACCGATATCTCCCGACAGCTGTCCTCGAAATTTTTCTTACTCAAATTCGCAACCAAATAACTGATTTGTGACAAAGTAAAAGACAACGAGTCCAGGTTCATAGTTCCATGAATACGACCTCGAAAGCTTCAAACGCGTTTGAAGCTTTCTTCGGTATCCACGAGTTGCCGCCGCTGCCGCCGCCACCCCGGGTTCTCTCCTCCTCGTTAAAAGCACGAAAGTTACATTGGCGCAATCCTATGGCCAACATCGGGATTGATATTATTGAGATACGATTTCACAGCAACGTCATGGCGAGCACAACACGGACGGGAGCTCACAAAACACACACGTAACCACTAGCTGCTCTTCACACAAGAATTGATCTGAAAGAATCTTTCTATCTTTTCGATCGATCGTCACCGTCGCCGCCGTCGTCGCCGTCGCCAACGAATTCGCACGAACTCCGTAGTCTCTCGTTGTCGATACACTGTGTACACAGAAGCCACTATTGTTCATACTACACAGAGCATCGTCATCGCCAGTGTGCAGTCTCTTCGCGATCGGATTCGTCCATGATGATGCACAAAAGAGAGGAAAAAAAAAAGGGAAAATTCAAATGATGCACGAAGTCTCAACGTGATATTCGCGCTCGTCCGAGATGATCCAAGATAATGACGCACCGTGCCCGCTATCTCTCGTCTATCGGAACTTGAATCCTGAAACGCAATATGGCACCCAGCATTAATACATATGTAACCGTTTGCCGCAGCAGAATTTCACGCGCACTCGCGCGTATTATTTTCCTCTCGAGATGCGGCGTATCTCCACGTGATAGATCTCTCTTGCGTTCGCGTATCGTAATATCATTCTTACCCTGGTGCCCGGACGGTGCTTTATCCGTATCAGCGAGAGATCGGCCAGCACCAACTTCCTGATGATGAACCGTGAATTATGGGCTGTTACGCATGTGAAATTGCCCGATCGCGAAAACACGAGAACACGAGGCTGCCATTTTACATTGTGGCACCAGAACGAGAGGAATCTACAAGAAAGTCACTAGCGCAAAATCAAGTGAGAGAGATCCGATAGCACACAACTGAGTGGGAGAGTCGTTGGCCACGTCCCGATTGATCACAACCACTCAGTAGGGGTCGGTGCCTAG